TCATTCTGCGCTCTTTGAATAACCACTGCTGGCCATACTGCACTATACCTCTCTCTGCCGTGCGTACTATAAACTGTGCTCGAAAATGGCCGTACTTTTATTCTCCCTGTGGTGCTGCCGAATCGTCCACAACGGTGGTGGACTCCATTACGTTTCGTTTCCATTCTGGGATCGGGACGTAGATAAATTTACTTGTCGACTTGACCCAAAGAGCCATCTTATCTCCTTAATCTGCAACAGTTCAGCTTCGCCTTCGCCTGTTCGATTGCATTTCCGTCATCAACCGGCTTACGTCTTGTTGCACTCCCGTCGTGATGACGCCTGTAATGCACTAAACTAATGCACACTTTCACTCCAATCTTGGCGCAACATCTCTCTATCAGTGCTTGCTCAGATTTGCAACGGTTTATGGAGAGCACACTTGTCCTAGTGGTCTTTTTTCCACGTGGCGTCCTGGTTAGTTTTCACTGCGAGAGATAAGAAATTCCATCTTCACTTCGTATCTACCACTTTGTCCTGGTTCATACAGTCCATTTTTGCGAACTGACTTCTACGGCGCAGGAATTGGTAATCATTTTGTTGTCATTCGCTTTCACCATACTGCCGGTATTGGCAGCCTTAGTAGGTGTTTAGATGCTTGCGGTTTCTTGATTTCACTGACCGCAGGTCGTTTGCGTGCATTCTTCCACTCAGACAACGGATGTGAGCATCGAGGATCGACTCTATGGGGTTTGGCGCCAACTGGTTCCACACTTAGTGTCCAACCAAATCTTCGTCTGGGCCCATCAACATGGAGGCATTGCACTGCTACATCCCTTCACTCCTATGCCTGGAATATTTCCAGGTTTTCCAGCCAATTCTACTAAACCTGTAGTCGACAAGGACTCCAGTTGCTCCAGTGATGCTTCTCCAACAGCTGATGTAAAATCGCCCAAACTCAGTCCCTCAAAAATACCTGCTCATGCGGGACCGAACGATATACCACCATCCTTGTTTGCTCAACCACTTCCTGGAGGCAGCCGTTCCTCGGACGATCGCTTGACACCCTTCACATCGGCGGGCACCCATTTGCAGCAGGAGTACGTGACCTCTTTGTACTACAGCCCACACAAATGATGCCGCATCATCGCCTTCACTAAGTTACTAGTGTCACTAATTTCCTCACTATGGCTTGGTATCTGGTGATGGTGATTTTTGAATCGAACTTTGAACTTCATCTATCTATGAGGAGAACATCTTCAAATTGAAATGACCAAATGGTTGCTATAAAACCTGTGGTCCAATGACCATTATGTACCCATACTTTTTCTTGTCCCACCGGTACCCTAATACCTTCACACCACTCGTTCAACTGCAGTTCTTTACAAGCTTGCTCGACTGAATTGTTTAGTTGAGGTCCCAGGCCAACGAAGTGTCTCTCGCCAGTGCTTTATCATCCGTTAGTCGGGCTCAAGCGTGATAACATGGACGGGTCGCGAGACAGCACGGCCACTTACTGTGACAATCCCTCGTGTGTGATGGCTGTTGACTCTCCGGAGTATTGGGTTCTACTATTTCTCATCAGATTGAATGGCTGCGTACCGCTGAAGATTGCTCAGTGGGTCGCGCAACTGTTTAACTTAGTCGTCATTAATTCGCCTCCAATACTGAGAAGTACTCTAATTATTTTCGATGGTTATAAAAATGGTCTCTGTTTCCATCTAGAATATTTGTTACAACGTACGCTGTGTATAGAGCTGTTTTTTTGCCTTCCGGTCGTATGTTCTTGCTTTGTTTTACTCCTCCTCTAATCTGTTTGTCTTTTCGTTTTGACTCATTGAACCAGACGATGTCCACCACAATCGTCCCTAAATAGTGATCTTGAATCCAACCTTCGCAACAAATCGAAAGAATTACTTTGGAATTCATTCACCGTCAAAGCCCGTGGTACTCGCAGGAGGCACATGTCAGCCAACGCTGTTTTGTCCACCAGCAGCTATCCCGTTTCCAGCTCTGAGCTACCCATTCTCACGACCTGTTCTCTCTGCCAGGCTACGGCAACGCACTCATCCTCTGATAGAGAGGATCACGCACATAGTTCCCTCACCCACACTGCTATCAGTCCCGTTAACGGGGACACCATGCAGCCAGGGAGTGAGTCCCCTTTGTTTTCATATAGCGGTTTTCACGTAGTCTTACTTTTAAAGTGTTATATTTTTCCGTCATTATGGAATCATGAACGTACCTTTCTCGTGCGTCGCTATTTTGGCTGGTCTTGAGTATGACGGCGTTTGTTCGGTGGTTATCGGGCAGTTTTTCACACATCTTAGTAGGTAACTTGACAACTATCAGCCATCTAACTTCGAAGGAAGTCCACCACAAATACACCATGACAGCCACCGCACCTCCTTAAAAACACTAAAACGCAGTTTCATCTTTCCTGGATTCGTTAGTACTTATGACTCGATCTATCCCTATGGGACTATAGCTCGCGACTGTGTTCTTACGAATCCATGGTTAAGACCGCGGAACCACGAGGAACGAGGAGGACTGACGTGACTGAGTCACCAGATGTGATGATATATTGTGGCTCACTTCACACTTTAACTGATCAGTCCACTCAGTTGGATTGTGCCTCGCACCGTCGAGGAATAAAACTTTTATTTCTTTATTCATTTATCTACTAACTGTATGAAAGGGAATGATCATTTTGGGCTGAGTGCCAACTGCTTGTGGCGATTTATATGGCATAATTTGCAGTCACCATAATACCTGATGGTGGTTTGCTCTTTTTGGGTTTATCAGCGGTATTCATTCCACTCGTTCCCTGCTATGCTAGAACCCGCATCGATCCACCTTCGATTCAGTGCTAAAGACCACTAAGTTACGAGGAAGGGGTGAGTTGCTTCCACCGAGACAATGTAACTAGCCGAGACTTTGATCTTAATCCATCTTTTCATCCCTCTGAAAGTCACTTTGTGCCTGAGCTGGCCCGTATTGCTGTCGAATGATGGGGATTCACCGAAGGAGGCTATTTCTGTGGAGGACAACACTGTGCTCTGCACTTAGGAAGCGCACATGACGAACGATGAGTGTCAATCTGCCGCCAATCCCCTGTTATCTATACCATGTCTTAACTGATTACATCCGCAATCTAATCGTTTTCATCCGTAAGGCAGTAGCCTTCCTCCGTAGCTCAGAGAATATAATCTGATAACCACCGAAATTGCATCCAAGATTGCATTTGGTGGCCAGCCCCTACCAGCCAGTAGTATTCAGACAACATGTCAACATGGCGGTTTAACCTACACCCACAGAGCAATAGCGCTTTAGGGATGGTGTAGCAAAAGTTGGGTACATTGAATCTAGGCCCACGTAAGGTAGGAGATACCCGCGTGATCAAACTCAAGTGAACGGTACTTGAAGGCTTGCTGCAGGAACCTCTGCACAATGTGTCTGCGTGCACTAGCATTGGACAATAAAGGGGTGGAAGCTCGTGCTGGTTCACCAACTGGTTCAAACCACAAAAACTAGGACGTAGAGACAAGGCAAAGTAAGCACAGTCCCGGAGTCAAGACGAACGCAGACGCGGCAGTGAAAATGTCCGGAACACGGGATCTAACCTCAAGTGGGTACGGAGTGTGATTAAGCCCGTTGTGAATGGAGTCTAAAGGGGCGAGGAAAGATGTGGTGCACGGAGGACCACAGTGAATAATGTAGACTTGGTATTGCAAAATGCTGTCTGCAAGGACAAGCTTGCTTACCTCATTTTAATGCCACCTCAGACTGTTTCTACCGGACTCTCTCACTTAGAGACGCAGTGCAAGCTCTCGTTTAATCTGTGAGTCCGTTTGTCACTAACGTATGGACGGGAGCCATATCCAGCACAGCGGAATGTCTACAATGTTCTCAACCTGACCTTTCACTTCAATCGATTAAATATCACATTGGTAACGGTTCCTCCAGTATGGCTGTACGTTGTGTAGAAGATAATGCTTTTCTACTCATTTGCCCCCCATACAAACCACGTTAGTCAAATCTGATTGAGAACTGCTCCCGAGCGGAATGACACTCACCAAGTTAAGTTTGTTAAGACATCTGATAGATGTTCGGTTACAGTCTTGTAAATTCCTTTCAAATACGATATCAAACCGCTAGCCCTTTCACTTTCCGCCTCATTCTTCAAGTACGCATACATCGAAACCGCTACCGCATCTACACTATTTCGTTGAAAAGTATTAGGTAACGATCAGCTGGTCTTATGCGATTAGGCGCAGTGGCATCTGGTGGACCACCGTTCCCCATAAAAATGAGTAAATTAGATAGGTGGCCGGTGACTCGATGCACCTTAATCTATGTTAGGAGGAAAAAATGGAGCAACATGCATTGAATAGATGGCTTTTTCTCCTATACTGAGCGACGCGGAGCTTCTGATATGGAGTCATGTTCTTCATTTTGATGCAATGTTGGCCTAATGATTCTTCATCTCTGACGCCGAGCAGAATCCGTTTACTTAGGCGTGAGTATTTGCATGACTAAGCTGGAGGTCGGGTACCGAAAACCAGTGAATCGTATAGCTTACATTGCCTTTTCCTTATATCTAGGGCTTCTTTCTCAAAAATACCCTCGGGGATGCTGATGACACTTGCTGTTCTGGAGCTAACTGATGATTCTACTTGATTTTATTCGTCTGGTTTTACTTTGGGGTCGTTAACCCGTCGCTTGCTTTTGGGGGATGTGGTAGGTACGTTTCGCGGGGCGACTTTCATGGTTCCTAACTGTTAATGAGCAACATGTTGTTGTGACATTAGTTGCTGATGTGGAGGTCCTTCTTTGCAGTATGATGCTCTGTTTGGCTATACGATCAAGTTCTGCATTTTTGATAGCGTGCGTCAATCGCAGTCACTGTGCTTTCACTGTTTGACTCCTCGCCTTGTATTGATCCCGAGCTGGAGTCCTTCCCAATTACTGTATCTCTTAACAATAGACTAGTTATTGTTACATATTCCGAAAAACGCTTCGCGTCGAGTTCTTCATGCGTTTCAATGGCTATCCCTGGATTCAGTATAGGGGTAAGCCGCTTGGTTACGGGAGGGCTGGGGTGAACGCTAGGCGAGCGATTAGTCTAAACAGAGCTCAACTTTCATTTGCACGGATGCGAGGTATCTTTCCGGAGGCGCGTGGTCAATCTTGCTCACAGCTGGTTTAAATTTCTTATTGTTTACTGACACCATTTGATGTTACACATTCAACAAAAGGCGTCACCATGCGCATTGGTGTTAACCTGGTGATCAGCTTAGGGGTAAGCGGTTCGGTTTTGGGTAAACTCGAATGCGGCTTAGGTGAGCGATTATTCATGATTGAGCTAGGGTGCCGTTCCCTGGCAAATGATCGGCCTTAATGACGATGAATTTGAATTCCATAAAATATTCGAGGATTGGTCCGCTCCGAATAAGTTTAGTTACATCGAGTGGACTGATTGATTTAAACTGTAGTGGACACCTATGCTGCTGAGACCTCTTCTGGAGTCGTATCAAGCTACAGTTAATCTCTGCTATTGCGCGAGACTAAAGTAGGGTGTCGTTCACAGAGTTCAATGGGCATCTCTCTGGGACATTAAAGACGGTTACGACCTGATTATCCGCTGGTGCACTCTAGGCACTATTCTTTTTAGTTACTAACATGCTAATTGTGCGGCGGTGTACTTAAGTGATCGCTGCGTATGGACTCGCGTGGCGATCGACCTTGATTTGTCACCAAATCTGTCCGCATTATGCAAGGCGCAAGTCAATTTATGTAACCACCCCCTGCAATCGCGTACAGATCAGTAAATGCAAAATACCGTTAGTCTCTGAACCGTTTTACACTTGGTGTAGGGCCCGCTCACACAGGTGGCTGCGGCTACCCTAACTTATAGTCGCTTAACTAAGGCGAGGTATCTGGCACCCGCAGTGTTTTCGGTCATTAAACAATAGCGGCAATGATAGTAGGGGATTACAATATTTTTGTATAATTTCCTTTCCGGGGCTTTGGATATAGTTAAGGTAGCTTCAGTAACCCATGTGAGCAGGAACCTGATTGCCATGTTGCTGCAGCGTCACTCTTCATACGCGCACAATTTGTAGATTTCTGTCCCAAATCTCCCAGTGGTCCGTGCTTCGGAATCCCAAACACGAATGCTTGGATACGTGCTCATAGTCATGTGCTCGTTTCTAGGTTTAGTTCCTCATGAGTTCCCCCGGATTGGATACATCTGCCCTTCCTTTGTGAACCGATCTACCCTAACTGTCCATACTGATTGGGCATGGTGCTACAATTTGCCTTGGACTGGGGCAAGATCGCTCATCAGCAATACGCGCTTCCGGACTCCGATTTATGGCTAGATTGCTATCGTCTAGTTCACACGATTTTCTCAGTCCCACTACAGGTTCGTCTATGAGATGCACCTCATTTCATGTTGGCTGGTCTGGTATGATCTATGCGCCGAAGTGCTGTGACCCCATTTAGTAATACTCGCATCACAATGGGGACACAGCTTCTCAAGATGTGCGATGCAGGAGTACGAACGAGACTGGGATCAAAAGGTTAGTGAACAATTTTTCTACCGCTTGTAGCGATCAAACTAGGCAGAAACTGGGGAAATAAATACTGAAGTCGTGTTAAGCAACTTTGCTAACCTATACAAGCTTTAAAATTTTGAGTAACTTTGATTTTTGCAAATGTTGCTTTGACGGATGATTTTTCAGCTAACTTATATGGGGCACGGCTATCCCGCGTGCGAGATTGTCAATAGTGCGACCGGCGTTCGAATTCCTGGTGCGCTGCCTTCTGTACTCGCACTGGTGGTATATATACTAAAATTCAAATTCAAATGCTCATGAGACATTTGCAAGCTACCACATTGCTTACGGGACCTTCCTCAAATATGGGGGTTCACACGGAATAATCACTTAGTCCCGCATCTTCAGATTTATGTGATTTCTCGGGTTTGGTGACCACTTACTGCATAAAATTGCACATATCCTTTGCTGTTAAGCGGAAATCCGTGGTAGAACAGCTTTAAGTTTTAATCCTCACCGTCCTCTAATCTACCGCGCGCATTCCAAAGTTCGCGAAGTAGAAGAGTTCTCCGAAACCTGATCATACGTATACGT